GACTCCAAATTTCACATGTACCTTCAATGGATGCGTCGTTATCGTCTGAACCAGAATTATGCGAAAATATATATTTTTCTGATTTTTAGTGCCTCCAAAAGACGAAAAAAGGCGAAGAAATCGATAGTCAAAATTCAAAGTGCCGCCATTTTGTAAATTTTCACTATTTTCTTTTCATTCCGGTGCACACTATAGTCACAGTCGTACTAATTAAGAATCCCTTAGGTTTTTTCATTTCGGATAAACAGAATGGGCGGAATCGTGTCAGCCAGTAGGACACTTTTTTTTTAAAGGGACCGCACTGAATGATATATAATTCAGACAGTTTTGCTTATTTTCACTTGAAAAAAATTGTGAACTTTCTTAAAACACGAATACATATGTATGCAAAATGCCGATACTGAGAAACTTTTACTTTCCTTACAAAAAAATCCCTAAGAAGAACTAAAAAATGACACTCTAGACTAGAATACCCCCTTAAGAGAGAGTTCCAGTTTGTATTTGTTGCGGAAGAAGCTGTACTTTGAGCAGGCCGGTATTAGACGATCTGTTGTGACCGGTGAAAATTTCTTTTATTTATGAAGATTTTAAGCATGTGCCTTGATACGCTAAAATCGGAAGAATACGAAAAAGCGAAGTTAATCGTTTCGACTTGAGTGAGTGGCTCGTATGTTAATGAAACGTGTTTCTCTGTACACGTACAGGAATCTGACGGTATTCTCGTTTAGAGAGACGTATTATTTTGTCGCATTTCTCTGGCAAATGTGCCGTAAACGATACTCGACTCTGATTTCATGCAGACCACGTACGATATTCATGATACACTTCAGACGATCGTACATATATACAAGGTGTCCCGTAACTCCTCGAACAACCGGAAATGGGGGGTTGCTGGGGTGACTCTGAACAACTTTTTCCTTTAGATCGTGAACAAATGCGTACGCGTGACTTCTCGGTTATCGATCGCTGTCAAAAAATTTTGACTTTGCACCGCTATTTTTATAAGGCTTAGAGAAATGGTTTTTTGCCGTCATTCCCACGTTTGTATAAATTTTTGAAAAAATTGTAATTAGTCGGAATCGCGCGTGAATGAGCCTCTGTTCTCCGTCCCTGAGCGCGGGCTCTGCGCGCGCTCCGATTGGCCAGTGTTTTTCGTTAATAATTCAAAAATGAAGCTTGAAACAACATTTTGGTAAAGGAAACAGTTGTTCAGAGTCACCCCAGCAACCCCCCATTTCCGGGTGTTCGAGGAGTTACGGGACACCCTGTATATATGTATACCTGAGATTTCGGTACGTATAACGCGATTCGAGTTTGCAAATGATATAGTATTCCGTCAGCGTGTGAGAGTGTCTCTGTCTCTGGAGTCTCGAATCTTCTGAAAACTATCGGGGGACCGGTACCGTTTGTACCGGCGCAGGATTCATTGATCCGTATGAAATATCCATTGTTTCGAAACGTTTTCGATATTCTATCAATTCTCTGTCCTTTCTCTCTGTCGTTTCACCTTTTCAACCTCGACGTGTTTCACGATCTCTCTGCCCGGTGTTTGATTATTCGTCGAGAATTAGTACCTACCTACCGGTGCAACGTTTAGAACGGTTCGGAATATTATTACGCGTGTAATTCGCGTACCTTTCGTTGAACAAATGAAAATTAAAGTTAGCGTAGAAATGAAATTTTACGAGCACAACGAGCGATTTCGCTTGTATCTCGAGCGTAATCTTATGCCGCGAGTGAAACTCGATGTTACGAGATAAAGAGGGGTAATGACAGAAGCGGTGGTATCGATGTATGATTTCTCTGCCTTCGCCGTTCTGTGTATACGTAAAAATGACTACATTTTAAAGAGATGAAAGCTATCGCTCATCGCTTCGTGGAAATATCAATTAATTAAGAAAGAATTATTCAAAAACAGATTGTACCCTCCGTTTCAATTCTATATCTTATGAGTAACGTTGCTTAATAGCGGTGAATAATGCATCGGCGATAAAGTACAGTGTGTAACAAAAGTTCCCAGAGTCTCGAGTTTAGCAATTTATCTGTCGTGGAATGGAGGACGGTAAGAAGGGAAGCGCGATACCTTCTTTTTTTTTGCTTAAAATTTAAAGAAAAGAAAATGTCAGTAGGTAAATCGAGTCTAGATATTTCTGCTATACAGGGTGTCCCAGTTTTTTCCGATCGAACTTTGTCAAACTTCGCGAGTGCGTTCTATAGGTAGTAGTGAGAAAAGAATGTTATACGAACGTAGGTCGTTGGAAGTTTTATTAGAAAGTTATAGCAATAATCCGAAATGGTAACGGATGTGAGGTTATGTTATAAAATAGAAATAGATCGGCGATATGTGCATCGAGTCTTGTTTATGCAAGATGTGTTTACGATCAGAGATCGTAGAAGGTAGTGAATGTAACTTTTGCCATTCTTGTTTTTTTTTTTCTTATAGTAACAGCAACTTCGTTACGATTCCCTTTCATATTTTTGTTACAACTGTTCAACAAACCTTCGAACAACCTATTTTTATGTAACATTTTTTTCTTGCCTACACCTGTAACGTAAGGGTTACAATCTGGGTGAAGCACTTTATTTTTCACAATCTTTACAATGCGAGCGCGTGTCGTCTTTCTCTCCCATCGACCCGAACAAGACAATCTGCCCATCGGGGGAAATAAATGACGATCGGGCCTCGTTTTTGGCGCCCAATAATCCTCCCAGCGCCATTCATGACCTGTTACCCAATCAATAGATATGGCACCAAGAGGAATCACGCTCCTCAATCTTTACATACTGCACTTGCTTCGGCAGTACTAAAATTGGAACGATACAGAGAAGATTAGCATAGCCCCTGCGCAAGGATGACACGCAAAATCGTGAAGGGTTCCAGATTTTTTTGAAAATTATTTACGAATTCGTGATTAGAAACAACTTAAAACTGTGATGAGCATACCAACTATCATATAGGGTACTCTCTACTTATTTATCAGTAAACTTAGAATAAGTGAGGCATAGATTAGACTTAGTATGTAAACGGTAAGAGTTAGGGTAATAGATATAAGTTCCAACAGACTGAGACCGAAAGTTCCTATTAAGTGTAATTTATCTTAGGCACACAAGTTATTGTTATGTATTAGTTATGTGTATAAAAAAATTTTTTAGATGTTACAATAAAGAGAAGCACCCGTGACGGGCCTCAAGTGTATTTAAATAAAAAAAAAAAAATCTTTACATACTTTAATATAGTGCAGGACACTAGGTGTCAATGCGGCTTTCCAGATGAGGACATAGACCATATACTATGGGACTGCACTGGTACACAAAAGCACAGGAAGGAAATGAATCAACGGCTCGGAGCAAAAGGACTGACACCACCGTACACAATAGAAAATTTTTTAATAGAACCTAACATTACAGCTTTAAAAATTATTGACGAATTCTTGATTAAAAACTACATAAAACTGTGATCATCTTACCAAATTACTAATAAGGCATATAATGCACATACGTATAAACATAGAATACGTAGGGCATAGATTAGTCGTAGATTGTAAAAGGATAGGGCTAAGGTAATAGATATAAGATTCAACAGACTGAAACAAAAGTTCCTAATCAGCGCAATTTAACATAGGAATACAAATAAATGTTATGTGAATATAATTTTTTATAAATTTTACATATGTACACAATAAAGAGAAGCACACGTAGGCCCGAGACAGGCCTCAAGTATATTTGAAAAAGAAAAATCTTTACATACTGTTTCACCGTACGCTCCGCTACACACCTATGGGACATACTAACGAAATTTGATCCGAAAAAATTGGGACACCCGGTATATATTGCCAGCAAAATGTGAAGTCCAGGCAATGTATACGCTGCCTAAGCAATCTTTAAACAACAACGATTAAACGTTTATTAACGCTTTATCTACCGCTAGCCGATTCATTGGCTTTTCGGTGCTTAACGGTTATCGACTGCTAGCCGATTCATCGGATTTTCGGTACTCAATGGTTATCGACCTCTAAAATCGACGCTTTTCGGATTAGATGGATCTAGAGATCAGTCCCTCGTTTTTCCTTGGTTAATTTTTAGTAAAATTCCTACTTCATGTTCACTCGTTAGAGTGGCGTCTCTGTTACGAGCGATATCACACTATTTCCGCGCAATAGCCAAATGAAACTGACAATGAGTCGGTCGTCGGTGAGTCTTCAACCATGAGCGGTAGATAAAATGTTTAGATTAAAAAAATAATACTTGGAACGAATAACAAAGAATACAAAGTCATTTTATCAAAAAAAAAATCGAAATCATAGTGTTAATGTTCGTGGTTGTTAACGGGATTGTTAACAGTCGAGCCTTGTTGCGTTTGCACGTGGTGTGCCGACTTTATTTAACAAACTTCTCAAAGGACCACTCTGATGTATCAGGCAAAAAGAACATAATAAACTAATTGCGTTGCCTCGGCAGGATGGACGACGGCACGTGTGAATGGTAAATTAAATTCTACAACTCGTTACGGTCGTGCCATAAACCGTGCCAAAGAAGTCCTAACACATAGAAATAAGACGAAAAATAAAAAAATCTATAAAATCGTCATACTTCGCCGAAAACACGTACAGTCTTCGTTGTCGGTAGTTTCTCGAATAATTTCACTTCTCGTATGAATCGAATGCAAAAGGAGATCTATCTGTTAGATGCGTTAACTCTGAAGGTTCTGGGGTAAGTGCCTTGCCGTCTCTCGCGGTCCTCTTACCAGAAAAAGAAATTTTACCCACTCTGTGGCCAGATCCTTCGGGAACATCCTTAACGCTTTACGCGTGCTACTCAGCACCATGACTTCGCGTCATCGGCCACGCGCGCGTACCTTTGAGATCGGCGGTCGAACTCTCTACCACCGATTCGTAAACAAAGAAGTCGCCGCGTCTCCTCTATAGAGAACTCGACGCTAACATATCCGTGTCGCTCTATCTACGTTCTCCACTAAAAATTCGTTTCACCGTGTGTTCCAGGTGATAGACTTCGGTTCGAGCTGCTACGAGGACCAACGCGTCTACACGTACATCCAGAGCCGTTTCTATCGCGCTCCCGAGGTGATACTCGGCGCCAAGTACGGCATGCCGATCGACATGTGGAGCCTCGGTTGCATCCTCGTCGAATTGGTCACCGGTTATCCGTTGCTGCCTGGCGAAGACGAAGCCGACCAGATGGCCCGTATCATCGAGCTGTTGGGTATGCCGCCGCCTCAGTTGCTGGAGAACGCGAAACGACGTAAGCTGTTCATCAACTCGAAGGGTTACCCGCGTTATTGCAGCTTCGTAACGATGTCAGACGGTTCGACCGTGTTGCACGGCGGTTACTCGAAGAAAGGGAAAGGCCGTGGACCACCTGGCTCCAGGGATCTTCGATATCTGTTGAAGAAATGCGACGATCCTTATTTCCTCGATTTCATACACAAATGCCTGAAATGGGATCCGGAGCAACGGATGACACCTGTGAAAGCGTTGAAACACGGATGGCTACGTCGTAGGTTACCAGAGCTTCCAGAGAAGACGAACGACACCCTGCCGGCGTTGCCTGCGGCCGCCACCGCTTCGCCCACCTCCACTTCCGGTCTCCGTACCTCTGCCTCTGGTAGCAAGAGTACGAACACCAAGTCGAACACACTGCAGATCAACAACAAAGGCAAAACGAGGTCTGAATTGGTGTTCGACGCACTTTTCAACAACACCATTGCAAACGCGTTGCAACGGTACGAAGACGGAAGAAGAAGAGGCCAACCGATCATCTTGACGAATCATCAACCAAGCGTCAGTAGTCACCCGTCGCTGAACTCTGTTAGTGGTGATGCTAGTGGTGGTGGTGGTGGTGTTGTTGGTGGTGTTGGTGGTGTTGGTGGAGGTGGTGGAGGTGGTGTTGGTGGTGTTGGTGGAGTTGGTGGAGGAGGAGGAGTAGGTGGTGGTGACGGTAGTAGCAGTAGTAGTAGTGGTGACCAACAACAACACAACAACGGTTCGCACGGATCCCTTGGACCTCTGGGCACCCATGGATCTCAAGGGTCCCATGGATCGCAACGGTCTTATGGATCTCACGGGTCCCAGGAATCCAGTAGTTCGAGCAGCAGTTGGTTCCGCGAATAGGTTGAAACGGAAAAGGACATACTCGAGGAACTGAAATGATTCATCGAGACACGAGGTCATCCTTCCTCTCTTCCAACAACGTTTCCCCTCTCGTCGTCGATGTTGCCTACACGATCGCTGGTTCTTCTGTCTCGTTGATCTTTCGTCGGATAATCGCGGCTGCACCACGACCGATACCGACTAACTGGGTTTGTCGAACGAAAATATCGAGACACAGCGTGTTTCTTTTTTTTTTTTCTTTTTCCTGCCTGTGGTGTGGTGACGCGATAAGATCAGTGAGAGGGAGAGAGAGAGAGAGAGAGAGAGAGGGTGGCCTCGTCTTCGATCTCCGGATAATTCTGTGATCTAAGCGATACGTTACTAGAAAAAGACGAAAACAAGGAAAGAAAAGAAAAAGAAGAACGTTGAAGTGGTGAAGGAAGTGAAAAATCGATCGCGATACCTCGAATCCATGTACCTCACCTAAATAGAGCTTGGCGACGTTGCTTCACGTTGCTCTCCGATTTGCTTGTCCAGGATCCATTCTCGTCGCCAGTTTCTTTGGAAAGTAAATGAAGAAAATGAAGAAGAGGTGGAAGAAGAAGAAGAAGGAAAAGCGTGTACGATTTAGGCCGTCTAATCGAGGACGATTGCTTTTGATGTTCACTTTTGTAGTTGACTGTTCGATACGATTCGCAAATACGCCTCCTCCCACTTCATACGCGTTGACGTACAGTAGTCGATGAAATTTTAAGACAAGGAAACTAGGAAGCAATTATTTATTTCGTATGAAAAATGGAAATACGATGTTTCTGTTTTTTGATATCACGAATAGGGAAATATTAGGTAAAATCTGTAAAATGAAATCTGTATTATGTTTTCGTTGACGAAAGCTTAAGATTACACGTGACAGGAGTGTTTTCAATGAAAATAATTTAGTATTCTGTGGAAAGTCCATTAGTTTTTATAACCTCGGCACATCTTTTTGGCATCGAATCTATTCATTTTTTCTACTCGCCTGCTGTAATATTGCTCCAAGCCGTTTCTATCGTAGAGTGGAAATCGTTCGAATTTTTTGGCTTGCAATTTGGTCCGGTTTCTTTTACCATGCTCCACAAATTTTCAATTGGGTTCAGGTGACTGCGACGGGTAATATTTTCTTCTCGAAAGAAATTTTTCACAATTCAGGCCGTGTGTTTCGCGTCGTTGTCTCGTTGGAAAATGAAACTGTCGGTTAGAATTCTTTAGTATGTCTGTATACTGAAAACGAAATACAATTCCATCGATGCGGCGTATCACGAGAAGTACGCTCACACTGTTACACATCCATCTCCGTGTTTAGTAGTCGGTAAAATGTATCGTGGTTTTAAATTTTCGGTAATTCGACGTCTAAGAGATTGGGTTATTTCGGGAGAGACGGACCAGGCAAGTATTTCCTACATTATCCGCCAGATATGGAAGAAAGAGAGCCACACTCGATCGCTTTCCGTAAAACAAATGTAAAACAAAAGAATACTGACGCGTTCCACATTTGGCGAAATACTTGCCTAGTCCGTCTTCCCGGAATTACCCTACGACTGAATTTTTCGATTCGTCCGAAAATAATACTCTTTGCCAGTCTTGACTCGTCCATGATTTCTGAGATTTACAGCGAATGCTCCATTCGTCTTCGTACTTTTAATTAAAAATCTTCCGACCGTCTTCTAACACTAATTTACGTTTCGTTATGTTCAGTTATTTCTGTAAATCAATTGCACAAGCGGTGAATCTCAGGATTTATTTTCAACGTCGTTTTTTGCAGTTCCACTGATTTTTGAACGATCAGAACTTACGCCAATTTATCGATACGAATAGCTATTTCGGCGAATGTCTTATCTTGCTTTCGCATCGTCGCAACATGTTTTCTTTCAATTTCCAACAAATCCCAAGGTTTACCGAGATTCAAGCGACGAAAGACACACTGCACGCTGATTTCAATTTGCGAACCAAATTATCGAACGAATGTAACAGAAAGAAAGAAAAAACTGAAACCTCTGAACTGTTCACATTTACCGACCGAGTTTTCGAGATGAAAAAATCCGAACTACATTACCGGGAGAAAAATTTGGAAATGCCTGCCAATTTACGTCAATATCGAATCTGCTACTTATTCTTTATAGATTTGAAATTGATGTTGTGGAAATCAACGAGTGATACAAAAATTAATATAATCGCTAACGTTTCTTTTTTGGAAATTTTTGTGAACTTGCAATGCACAGTAGTGGTTCCAAACATTTCGTCGGCAGTGTACGTCTATGTTATTGCAAAACGACAAACTCAGTGGAAAGATAGTATTAGGTCATCCCATAAGTTCGTGCCGAAAGCGAAAAATATTTGAATGAAAATTGAAGGAAATTCTACAGCAACGATACAATGATCTTACCAAAAAAATAGGAAGAACTTGTGGCATGAGAATAAGGTTACACGTTTTTTTGTCAAATTTAAAGGTTCGTTGGAAATATTGATCTAAATCATAAAATTCGACACGACCTTATGGGATGACCTAATTATTTGCGTTTGAGTTTGTCGGAATAACATAGATGTACACTACTGGCCAATTGTTTGGAATCACTTACGAGCGATGGACAATCTACGTTCTCATTTTTCCAAGGTTCTGGGGTAAGTGCCGTTTCTCACAGTCCTCCCCACCCCGTGGTCAGATCCTTTACAAACGATGTCTTTATTTTTAACCCATTTGCATAATTTGAGAAAAATGACAAATAGACCTTTAACACGAATTTTTAACCCTTTGAACTCGAGAGGCGACTAAGAAACGACATTATATTTACCATTAGAGGCAACTCTAAGGATATTTTCCAAAACGGCAGGTCTATGGACCTCCGTGAATTGTTCACTACATATTTACACTCTGTCCAATTTAAGAATAACCTCGCTCTCGGACCGATTCTCGTCCGTTCTGCGCATAGACAGAGAGCGTAGCAGAGGGTAAGACGGAGAAAAACGTAGGCGGTTAAGTGGGGGTTTGGACGTTCCTACCCCTGCCTTAGGCACGTCCCATGCGCGAAGCGAGGTTATTCTTAAATTGGACAGAGTATAGAGATCTCAGCAGTGAAATAGTTCGAAAGAACCAACTTTTAATAAAAATATTAGTTTTAAAAAATTACATCAATTTTTGCTACTTCCTTATAGAAAAAAAGGCCTTCGAGTGCAAAGGGTTAATAGTCTGCGATTAGTCTGTGAGCAGGAAAATGGAGCGTATATATACGCTAATGATGCAAATAGGTTAAAGCGATGCCAATCGTTGCTCGTCTGGCTTGTCTCCTATCGTAAACATTCTCTCTGGCCACACACGCAGGTCAAGTACCTGCGATAAATTGTACGAAAGCGAAACAGTGGCGGGTCACTCGCCTTTCACGATCCTTAACCGTTTGCGGTCCAAATAGTCCAGTTAGTCCGCGCTCAAAAATACTATTTTTTCTATAAAAAGTTGCTTACCGGAGTAAAGAATTTTTTGAGAAAATAGGCGGGGAAATAGTTACTAATGGTAATGTATTACGTTCGAGACGGTATTTTAGTTTCTTTCTGTAGACCTCGTTTGGTCACTCTCGGACAGTACCGTGTACTTTCCCTTTATTTCAGTATTTCAGCGTACTATTACTTATAAAATACTAAGTTTCAGTATAATATTAACACTTTTCGTGCCGGACCGATTTTCGATAACTTTCCGTTCACGCCACGTGAGTTCAGTAGTTTCGCTTTTCACCCTGCAGTCTTCTAACGTTGATAAGATTGCAAGAATCAGGTAACGTTCAAGACGTACTACGGAGCAAAGGAAAAATTCTTGTTTCGACAAATTATCGCCGTATTTGCATAGTTCAAGTGAACCCAAGGAAAAAGCGGAAATGAATGGCCTGAACGGAAACTCCAAAACGGGCCGTATGCGACCCACTCGGCACTTAACGTGTTAATGCATAAAAAAATGGTCGATTATCACTTATAATTCACAATTTATCGTATCTGATGTCTGAAGACAAAAATCCTTACGTCGAGTCTGACTCCACACAGGCCCTCAAAGGGTTAACCCATTTGCATCACAGCTCTGAATAGGCTACTAGCGTTATTCGTCTGAGACGTTCATTTCGCAGTCGGCCCAATATTTCTTGTGTCTTTGTTTATTACTGATTTTACTCCGAAATTACGTGCAATAATTCAAAATTATTAAGAAATTTTCAAACTTCGAAATCCTTCTATACAATCGTCATGTGCGGATCATTCCGCTTACGGATGCAAATGGGTTAAAAGAACACTCTAGCGCTAACATATATATACACATCACCGGAATAAAAATTCGTCGTCTTAAACTTGCAACCGCTACTGTACGTCGCACAATTCGTTCGTTCTTAACACATTCGCGTCGAGAGGCACGGGAGTGTGACTCCCCGTCTATTTCTTTCAATCGCGTTACATCGAGAAAAAAAAACAAACTGCTGTAATTAATATTTCTCAAAGAAATTTTACTTAACTCCTGAAACATCTGTTACGACATTTCTAAAGAAAACTCGAACCACTTGCAGCGTTTTACAAATTCATTTTCAGTCAGATGGAAACGAGCGAAAGTCTCAATCTGACGCGTATCCGCGTATCATCCGTCTTATCGAAGTAAAAAAAGACCCGAGAGCGAATGTGTTAACCAACGGAGACGCATAGGTTGCGTCCTATAATCGTGGAACGACCACACGGAGGTTATCGTGCCAAGGGAGGAGAAGGAAAGATTTTGCGCAACGTCGATGAAATCGATTGTTCCAGGAGGGTGGCTGGCGAAGTCGAAAGAAGGGTTGTATTCTGTTGACACGGTCAGCGGACTCTCTCTCTCGCCCCGTGCTAGAAGTCGACCTCGCCGCGAGAATGAAGCTCTCTCGTTCGAGGATACCTAGACATTAAAGATACCGAGCCTTTCACGCTCCTCGCCGGGAATCTGATAATCAAAGGGCATGTGTCTCGTTGAATAGAGCCATCCGAGA